GATGTCCTTCCTCAGATTCAGTCCTCAGACCGTTTGCTTGGGGCTTGCTTTCTTTGAAGATGAGGATCTGGAGTTCCGGGGGTTAGAAGCAGGACCTACCTATACTGACCAGCCATCTTTGGGACATGGGGATGATGAGGTTTCAGTCTTAATGTGTCTTTCTAAGGATTATAGGTCATGTAAAGGCACTGTTTGACACTCAATCTGCCTGAGAATCCCTACAATCTTTGCTCCAAATTGAAAAGACACACACAACCAAAAAAGAAAAGGCCCTCTACAAATTCGACTAAATGCTTTGAGACCTCAGAGAAATGGTTCATACTTTAATTATATACATGTATAACCATTTAGTGTAGGGCTTCCCAGGTGGCTCAGTGGTAAAGAATCTGCCTGCCAATATAGGAGATGCAGGAAACTCGGATCTGATCCCTGCGTTGGGAAGATCCCCTGGAGTACCCTGTGGTAAGAAATGGCAATGTACTCCAGTATTTTTGCCTGGAAAATTCCATGGACAGAGGAGCCTGGTGGGCTACAGTCCATGGGGTCAAAAGAGTCGGACACAACTGAGCGACTGAGGACACACATAACCATATGATACATAATGTTTATATTTTCCTCTGAATTATAAACACTTAAGACCATGTCGTTGGGAATCAAGCAGTTGATAGAATTGCACGGACAAATGTGCTGGATCTGGGTGGACATGTATTGGAGTAATAGCCTTGATTGATGGGCCAGTGAATTCAGAGTGGGTATGTAAGGAATATAAGGTCTGAGTTTTTAGTGTCAGCTCTGCTAATTGCTGAGTATACCACCTTCACCCATCCTGGGCCCATCCTTTGTCTCTCTAAAAAAGAGTAATAACCTTTGCTTCCCATTTGAGTTCCCTGGAACTCAAGCTATGCTTATGAAGAGTCTGTGCAGGGTTGGGCATCTGAACTCCCAGTCTCAACCCGTGTCCTGAAGACACCTGTCCCTGGGTCTCTCAAGGCCTTTACACCGCCCCACATGGGCCTCGGAGGAGCTGTGTGCCCCCTCAAGATGCCAGCAAGATGCTGGGTGGGTAGCAAATCCTTCTGGGATTCCCTGGATCTTTGCTGAGGTCAGGCTGGCCCTTTAAACCAACAGTTTACTCCAGGTTCAGGAAGGACAAGAGGGAAATGAGCACAGAGTACCCGGAACCCAGAGATGAGATCTGGGAGCAGAGTTTCCCACTCTGGCCTGACGGTAGAGTCCCTGGGTTGTGGCTGGTGTGTGCCTGGATTCCCTGCCTCTCTTCTGGAAAGTCAGATTCAGATAGTCTGCGAGGGCCTGGGAATCTGCCTTTGCAAGCATTCCAGGAGATTCTAGTTTGCAGCAGAGCTGAGAACCTCTACTGTGGGTGTGTAACGGGTGATTCTCGGGGTCTTGAAGCCCCTTCCCCTCCCAGCTGCCTCCACGTGAACCCAGCCTCTCGGAGCCTGGACCTGCTCTGTGATCTTCCTGTGCCCAAGGCCAGTTAGTCGCCTTTTCAGTGAGTTTAAGAAATGCCCGGGGGTTTGTTGTTAGAATGCAAATTCCCAGCTTCATTCTTGGAGAATCAAATTAAGAGCTCAGAAGGGAGAGCTCAGAAGTCTGCATTTTAAAAATCTAAGGCCTTCTAATGCCGGTGATCTCTAGACTGCCATTTGAATAATTTAGCCTTGACACAAGATAGAAACTCTGAGTCCCTTCTGCCTTCCTAAAGCCCACCCCCTCAGGGACCCGCACCTCTCCCAGGTAGCTGATATAAGAATGACCCGGCCTTTCAGGGGCGATCTCATTTCCCCACAGGCACTTCACTGACTTGGCTAGGCTTACATTGTTGAGGGACAATCATACCTAATTATAACGCAGTCACCTGCATTCCTGGGAGAGGTAGTCTCGCACAGGACAGAGCATGAATTTCATTCCTGCCCTTCAGTGTGGACGCTAGACCCCTTGATTCAGTCAGTGAAGGGGAATGAAAGTGAACTCGCTCAGTCGTGTCTGACTCTTTGTGACCCCATGGATTGTAGCCTACCAGGCTTCTGCATCCATGGGATTTTCCAGGCAAGAGCCATGGGATTTTCCGGGCAAGAGTACTGGAGTGGGTTGCCATTTCCTTCTCCAGGGGATCTTCCCGACCCAGGGATTGAGCCTGGGTCCCCCGCATTGCAGGCAGATGCCTTTACTGTCTGAATCACCAGGGAAGTCAGTGAAGGGGACTCACGCCATCTAACTGTATCTGGCAACCTTTGGCAATATGGCGAGGGACATCTAGATTCAAAAGGGATTTGAAATTTCTAATTCCTTTAGGGTTGGAGTGTAGAAAGAATTGGAAAGAACTTCCAGAGTGAGCTTCCAGAGCCTTCCAGAGTGAACCCCTGCTCCCCTCCACACCCTCCCCTCCTTAGCCCTGATTCCGTCTTCTGTCTGGCTGGGAGGCGGGGATGGTTATTGGTAGATCACACTAGTCTAGCTGAGCCAGTGGGTCTCATACTGAGCTTTATCAGAATTACCTGGAGGGCTTGTTCACACAGACTGCCCAAAGCCCCACTCCCAGTTTCTACAGCAGGAGGTCTGGGTGGGGTCACGATTTGCATCTCTAACGAGCTCCCAGGGATTGTTGATCTGGAAGAGATTTTCCTAAACCTTTGAGCCTCACGCAGCTGCTCAATCTCCTGGATCGGCCCCCTCTGCACTCCTTCTTTCTCTCCTTTTTTGGGATCACGAAAGTGCTCGTCTTTAGTTTTTTGCTCCCAGTCCTCTTGGATAATTTCTCAGTTGCCTGTGGATTCTGCCCTCCTGGTTCATCCCAGGTGGGCCTGGCATGCGCCCTGCCCCCTGGCCCTGTTAAACTGAGGGGCAGGAAGGGGGCTGGTTTCATTCTTCTTGCACACCGTTTCAGGAATGTGTCTCCTTGTGGGTTCTCTTGACCTGGGAATGGACTTTCCAAGTGGCTGGGTGTGTGGTAAGAAGGTGAGGTGTAGGTATGCTTGTTATCTGAGAAGTTGCTGATAGCCTGAGTGTGGCAGCTGTAGTGATCCTTGATGACACGTCTGGGGCACCGACTGTGGTCCTGTGCCCCTCAGGAGGTGGCACTGGGCTCAGCCTTGTTGCATCCCTGAGGTGACCTGCTCGGAGACTCTGGGCATGAAATTACCAGTGAGCTGAACTGGGGAAATCTTTGAGGATCAGTTCAGTAAGGATATAAGATCGAGTGTTTAAGCTAGAGGACCCAGCACCCTACAGTCTGGGTTCAAATGCAGCCCTGCCTCTTATCACCCATATGATGGTGTGGAGGGCAAACCAAACTCCCCCATTTTGCAGGAGAATTTGACCTTTTCTTAACTTTGTCTCTCATTCCTCTGGGAACCTGATAAAGAATGGAAGTCAACTGCAGTTAGGCGACTTTACTTGCGATAAAAAGAACTGCAAGTGGGCTGGGTGATCTACTCACCGTTGTTGGGAAGCCATTCTTTGTGTTTCTCTGAGCACAGCAACTCTTTCCACTGGCCTGTCCTTTAGGGAGATCCTGGCAACCATGCCTCTGCATGAGTTACAAACAATAGTGGCTCCTGGGAGGGGTTAAGGCAGGGTGGGGGCCATGCCCACGTTTCCCTGCACTGAGCCATCAGCTTGGGGACAAAAGAGAATGGCTTCTGAGTGGCTCTGTGGCCTGGGGTCCTGTGGACTGGCTCCAGTGAAGGGGGCGCCTGAGGCTGCCGTGCCTGGGCACCGTGTCCTGTCTTATGTCCTTTTAAGTGGCCCTAATGCCAGGTGTGCCAGTAGTAGTCCTGTGAGCCTCAAAATTAGCTGAAATTAAAAAGATCCCTGGTGGGTCTGCCAGAATGATCTCTGTATTTGTTTTTTAAATGTGTGTGCATTTTTCTTATCTATAAAATGGGAATGAGGATATATTAGCTACTTTCTGGGATTGTTATGAGGACTGTAAGGTGTTTAGAAAAGTACCTAGTACATAAGAGTATGCTGTTGCCATGACTACCACCATCATCACCATCAACCATCACCATCAATTCCTGAGGCTGCCCTGCCTGGGCACCATGTCCTGTCTTACATCCTTTTTAGTGGACCTAATGCCACGTGTGCCAGTGGTAGTTGTGTGGGCCTCATCACCATCACCATCACTACCATTTCACCATCACCATGTCCATCACCATCACCACTACCACACTACCACCATCACCACTGTGGTCATCATGATCACCACCACTATCTTCACCACGATCACCACCGCTACCATCATCACCACCGTCACTGCCACTACCATCATACCACCACTACCACCACCACCATCGTCACCATCATTGTAATTATGAAAGGAAGGGAGGAGGTCCTTCTCCTTTGGGTTCATTTTAGTCTCATGTTAGTTACGAAGTCATTGTATGGCTTTGAACAAAATGACTTCGTCCTCTAAGGAAATTGATTCTTACAGAATGTTCTAAGTATTCCATTTATGTGTTGGATAAATTAATGAATTAGGAGAGTCATCTAAATGTCCTTTAGGGTCCTTTCTGGTTTCAAATGTAAGACTCTGTATGGTGTTGAGTCTGAGAAGAAAAGTTGGAGAGAGGTGAAAACAGGCGAGAATGGGAGTGTTGTCAGGGGTCAGAGGTCTGGAGCATTCTGGAGAGGGCATAGGTCATCAGGAGGAGGTGGAAAGGTGTCCAGTAGTTCAGTGAGTTCAGGCCAGTGCTTAGGAGGGATGTAGATGGATCTGACCTAGGAGGAATGTGTACTTCCTGGAGCCTGTGTTTTTAGCACAGGATAAAGGGATGAGAGGGCAATGGTGTGTGGCTAAAGAGAGGTTAAAATGGTTACCTTGGGTTGTTCTGGAGTATTTCTTCTTCTCTGAGGTCACCACCTTCAGTGACAACAAGGATGAGAACTTCCTTCTTCTCTCACCGCTGAGGGGAGAGCCAGCAATGACCCCAGCAGGACAGTGACCCTAATGCTGTGTTTCCCCCTCCTTCCTTCAGGTCTGAATGCTGGTGCTTTTTATGCCTTGTCCACTCTGCTGACTCGCATGGTGATCTTCCACTATCCGGTAAGGGCATTCCCTAAGCTGACCAGTGCCAGAGGGAAGGAGATGTCTAGTGTCTGGGCAGGAGCTGGGGAGGCAGTGTGGCATGGTGTGTGCTCCAGGATTTGGAGGGAGGCGGCCCTGGGTCTCAGCCCCAGGTCTAGTGGTTCTCAGCAGTGTGAGAGCTGGTTAGCGCCTCTGAGCTCTCATGCTCTTTTCTGCAAAAGAAGTCTAGTTATTTATTGAAAGATTAATTTAATTTTATATTTTTAAAAGACTAATTTTACAATTAGAAAGTAAGTCATAAGATTTACATGTGTAAAATACATAGCACGGTGCCTGGCAACATGGTAGGTAAACATATATACACACAGAATCACCTATGAAATCAGTTAAGTTGTGAAATGTGCGCAAGATTTAATGTTAAAGTCTTAGTTGTTCATCGGAAAGCAGGTTGCAAATGTCTCCAGAACCAGGGAGGATTAAATACTGGGAAATGGACACTTAGTATCCTGCAGTCGGGATGTCAGGCCCAACCCTCTTTCGGAAAGTCGAGGGTCTCAGCTTGGGAACGGTGGGCCACCGTGGGTGAGTGAGTGTTCCAGTGTTGGAGGTTGACAGGTCTGAGTCCAAATCCTGCCTCTGCACTTAATAAAGGCCTCATGACCTTCGGCTAGTAGGCTAATTTCAGTGTACCTTGATGTCTTCATCTGTAAAATGGGGAATATTGGTTCTTAACCTCCTGGTGGGCAATCAGCAGAATTAAATAAGATGATGATATAAAATCCTCAGCATGGTGTCTGGCTCATAATAAACACGCGAACATATGTAATATCTTCCTACCTCTAAAACAGTGATAACTGGAAAAAAAAGCCTAAGTATGGAATGCTCGGATATACACGTTTCAGTTTTTCCATCTGTTAAATGGGAAGGTTCCTAAGAGGGTTATATTTTTGAAAAATCTACCTAAAAATGGTTTCTAAAGATAGAATTTGTTTTCCCCCAGCATCCAGTATCATGCACCCACACCCAGGGTTATATTATATTATATTAGGAGGAGCAGTTATTCTAGGATTTCCTCCCCTAGAATTACTGGCAGCTTTTTACAGCTTGTCTTGTTCTGCTACTTTCTGAGAATTGGCTGTCATGGCACCCCAGTTACTTGCCTTTACCCCTTTGCCTCCTGGTGACCGCGCCCCATCAGATGTCTTGTTCCATCCTTGAGTGATCCTTGGGGCTATGGTTTCCCCAGGGGGAAGAAGTGAATGCTGGAAGAATCGGCCTGACCATCGTCCTTGCAGGAATGCTTGGGGCTGTGATCTCAGGCATCTGGCTGGATAGGACCAAAACCTACAAGTAAGTGACTCTTCCGCTTGGACTGAATTGGAGACCATGTTTTGAAATGACATGTTCTTAAGAACATGGCTCCAAGGATGTGATTGCAGCATCCGGGGTGTGAGTGGTCAAGGAGGCAGTTCAGATGTATCTTCTCTGGGAATGAGGAGGTGGTTCCATTGCCAAATTCCCATGTCTTGCTCGTGGACCTCCTGGGGTTTACCAGGGTGCTCTGTGCTTCCAACAGTTTTCAGTGTATTACCTTGTAATTGCTTCCATGTTGGTAAATATTGCTTCCATTGGTAAATATTGTGATATGGTTTAGTCCTGATTGCCCAGTGCATTTCTAAGAGCCACTAAGATTTTAGTGGATTGCAGGCTAAACCAGGACACTTTCTAAAAATACAGATCCCTGGGTTCCACCCCTCATGGATGTCAATTCAGTAGGGGAGTCTGCATTTAGAAATCAACCCGGATGCCTTGATTCAGTAGCCAGCCTTGGAGAAAGTGCTCTGAAAACAGAGGCTCAGTTTGAGTGTGTCCTGTGCTCCGCATCCACTGGGTGCTCAGTTAATGCGGCTCAGTGGGGCAGCTGCCTGGGCTGTCCTGCGCTGGGCAGGGCAGTATTCTAGGCTGCTTTGTCAAGGCCTCCAAAGTTCCCAGTGTCTGGAGGCGACAGACAGCGGCAGACCTGTTCTTTGCACACAAACCCGCTTCTGTGAGGCTCTGGTCAGACCAGGGCTCCCTCTGGCTGCCCTCATCAAAGGCCAATTGAGGCCCTCCCTGGGGATGTGGCTGCCTGGCCGGACACAAGGAGGAGCCCGGCTGGACCTAACTACTGCTGGTGGAGCTGGGCTGCAGCCTCATTTCTGCCATATGCCAGTTGCTTGCTTCAAGCAGTGAGGACTGGCCTCCCTTGAACCAGGGAATAGCAGCATCTCTCTTCCAGGCTTGCTCTATGGCAACAGAAAGGAGGGATTCGAATGTTTGCTGGGCCAGGATGTGGGCAGCCAGATGATTCAGATGAACCAGAAAAGAGAGTGAAAAGACAGTGAAAGGGCTGGGAGGACACTGCAGAATCTAGCTGACACTGGTTCCTAGTGTCATTTGATGTCTGCATCCTGCAGTCAGCATGGACATTCTTTCCGCTCCACTACTTGGGCAGAAAAAGGGTGGGGGAGCTCTGTCATCTAGGCATTTTGGTGCCTGTTCCTTCTCCCCGAGGCTTCCAGATGTGTCTCCTTTGGTTTGGAGATGGAAATTGGATGGTCAGTTCCATTTATGTCTGGCTGAGGCTACAAATAGTTTTGCAGACAGGCTAGTGGTTTAAGAAGAAGCTGTGTGTAAAGAAATATGGCAAAAGGTGAGCTTGTGGGGTCAGCAAGGGAGATGGGTGTCCGTGGGGCTGGGTTCTGCAGCGGGAGGGCCTGTATGCGGGGAGCAAGGGGAGGAGAGATGAAGGCCCTCTGACCTCAGCAGCTGCTTTGAAGACCCAGGAGGGAGGGGTGTCCTGCAGAGGCTGTTGCTCTTTTCCGAAGATGTAGCCCCATCGTGTGTTAGTATTCCTGTGTGTGGGAGTGGATAGAGCATGGGTTTCTAATCCTACTCTGCATTTACCTAGTAGGTGACTTTGGACAAGTAACTTGACTGGTCTGAGCTCAGTTTCCACATTTGTCATATTGGAGATAGTCATATGTTTCTTTTTTCCTACCAGTTTTATTGAGATATAATGGACTTAAACTGTATCTATAAATAGCATATGGTTTAATTTACATACATCATGAAATCAACATCACAAATAGTTTAGTGGACATCCATCATCATGTATGGATACAAAATTAAAGAAATAGAAAAAATATCATGATGAGGACCTTTAGGACTTCTTTTCTTAACAACTTGCATATATAACATATACCATGTTGATTATGTTTATCGTGTTGTACATTACATACTTGTGTGTGTGTGCTGATCGCTCAGTTGTGTCTGACTCTTTGCGACCCCATGGTCTGTCCATGGAATTCCCCAGGCAAGAATACTGGATTGGGTTGCCATTCCCTCCTCCAGGGAATCTTCCTGACCCAGGGATGGAATCCAGGTCTCCTACATTGCTGGCAGATTCTTTACCATATGAGCTACCAGGGAAGCCCACATTACATACTTAGTCCTTACTTATTTTGCACCTGGAAAATCAAAATAACCTTTTGATTGCCTTCTTCCTATTTCCCCTTCTCCTACCCCATCCTTACCTTTGGTAACCAAAAATCTGATCTCTTTTTCTGTGAGTTTGCATGCTTGTTTGGTTTTTGAAGTATTATTGACCTACTACACTATGTTAGTTCCTTGACACTACATAATGATTCAATATTTCTAGAAATTTCAAAATGACCCCTAAATTAAGTCTGGTTGTGGTCTGTTACCATACCAGGATATTATTACTCATTGGCTGTATTCCCCACCCTGTACATTTCATCCCTTTGATTCATCTATTTTCCATCTGGAAGTTTGTACCTCTTAATCTCTTCCACCTGTTTCTTTCCTTCCCCCCTACCCCATCCTCTCCCTTCTGGCAGCCATCTGTGTGTTCTCTGTATCTATGAGTCTGTTTCTGACTTAATGTCTGTTCATTTATTTTGTTTTTTAGATTCTGCATAGCAATGAAATCATATAGTATTTGTATTTCTCTAACTTATTTCACTTAGCATAAAATCATTTGGGTCCATACATGTCACTGCAAATGGCAAGAGTTCATTCCTTTTTATGGCTGAAATACATATGTGTGCATACCACATCTTTTTAATCCACTTATCTGTTGATGGGCACTTAGATTGCCTATCTTTGCTTTTGTACAGATACTATAGTGAACATTGGGGTACATATATTTTTTTGAATTAGTGTATTCATTTTCTTGGGATAAATGCTCAGGAGTGGAATTGCTGGATCATCTGAGTGTTCTGGTTTTTCATATATATACATATAATTTTATTTATTTTTGGCTGTGCTGGATCTTTTTTGTTTTGCAGGCTTTTCTCTAGTTGTGGTGCATGGAATTCTCACTGCAGTGGTTTCTCTTGTGGTGGAGCACAGTCTCTAGAGTGCCTGGGCTTCAGTAGTTGCACTTCTAGAGTTCAGGCTCAATAGATGTGGTGCACAGGCTTACTTTCTCTGCCCCATGTGGGATCTTCCCAGACCAGGGATCAAACCCATGTCTCCTGCATTAGCACATAGATTCTTTACCACTGAGCCACCAGGGAAGCCCCCTGGGTGTTCTGTTTTGAAACTTTTTTTTAGAACTCACCATATTGTTTTCTATAGTGGCCGCACCAATTTACAGTACCCTCCAGCAGTTCACAAGGGTTCCCTTTTTCACTGCTTCTTGGCCATCTGTATGTCTTCTTTGGAAGAATCTCTGTTCAGATCCTCTGCCCACTTTTCAATTGGTTTTTTTTTTCTTTTGATGTTGAGTTGTATTAAATCTTTGTATATCTTGGATATTAACTCCTTATAGATATATCTTCTTCCATTCAATAGATGGCCTTTTAATTTTGTTGATAGTTTCCTTTACTGTGCTAAAGCTTTCCAGTTTGATGTAGTCCTATTTGTTTTTGCTTTTGGTTCCCTTGCGTGAGGAGACATCCCCCCCAGACCCCATAAATTACTAACACTGATGTTAGTGTCCTGCCTATAAATTTATTCTAGAATTTTTGTGGTTTTAGTCTTTAAGTCTTTAATTCATTTTGAGTTTGTTTTTCTGCATAGCGTGAGAGAGCAGTTGAGTTTGATTCTTTTGTGTATAGCTGTCCAATTTTCCCAACACTGTTTATTGAAGAGTCTGTCTTCTCCCCATTGTATATTCTTGCCTCTTTCATCATTTTGGGGTTGCTCTTCAGATCCATTCATCTGTGTCTGTTTTCTGCCAGTACCATACTGGTTTGATTACAATAGCTTTGGAGTATAGTTTGAAATCTGGAAGAACTGATACCTCTAGTTTTATACTTTCTCAAGATTGCTTTGCTATATGTGGTCTTTTGTATTTCCATACACATTTTAGAATTGTTTGTTCTAATTCTGCAAAGTTTCCATTAGTGTTCTGACAGAAATTGCTTTGATTATGCTGACTGCCTTGCATTACACTGTTTAAAGATTTTTCTTAAGTCCTGAGATAGGCTTGTGTCACTAAAACTTGCCTCTTGGAACTACTTTTCCTGTACCCCGTATAATCTGTAGTGTATTTTTTATTAATTTGTTTCCAGGTGTTCTTTTTTTGTTTTTTTTAATTTCTACTTTGATTTCTTCAGTGACTTAGTGGTTGCTTGGTGAATAATTATTTAGCCTCCATGTGTTTGTGGTTTTGTAGTTTTTTCCTCATTGTTGATTTTTTTTAAACTTTAAAAAAATTTTTTACATTAAAAAAATTTGCTTATTTTTTAATTGAAGGATAATTGCTTTACAGAATGTTATTGTTTTCTGTCAAACATTAACATGAATCCACCATACTCGTAGTTGATTTCTAATCTCATTTTTTTGATTAGAAAAGATGCTTGATATGATTTCAGTTTTCTTAAATCAGTCATTCTTTTCCTGCAGGGCTTTTGTAAGGGTTAAATGAAATACTAAATATATGTAAAGTGCTTACGAGAACCTCTGGCATCCAATCACTTCAGTATCAGTTTGACATAAGCACAGTATACACCTGCCGGCCACCCCACTGTGTTTCTGGCTTCAGCAGAGATGAGGGAAGGCTCTGAGCTTTCATGGTCTGAGTCCTGATGCTCGTGGCCAGAGCGCCCAAGGAGGTGCTGAGCCCCTGACCTCAGTCAGGAGGACAGGGAGAGGGTGGCGGTCCCAGTGCAGGAGTCAGGGCCACGGCAGCCCTGGGTGGGCCGCCTGGAGGGAGGTGCGTGCAGGGGCACGAGCAGGGTGAGCCCGAAAGAGAAACCAGCCCTGCTGGGCCTTCTGAGGGGCCAGCGGAGGGACACGCGCCGGGAGTGGGCGCAGCTTTCTCCCTCGGGCTTTGGAGTCAAGGGCTCGTTCAGGGCTGGAGAATGTTCCCTCTGCTGCACTGTCAGGAGTGGAGCAGTTCAGATTCAGCAGGGAGAGCTGGGCTGCACGTGTGGCAACAGAAAGGACCCGGAGACGACAGAGACTCTCACAGTCAGGTCCTGCCCGGCATTGTCCGGGGGGCGGGGGGCGATGCAGACAAGCAGAATGGGCTTCTGGGGTTGTCTGCGTGCCACTGCCACCTGACCACAGCTGATGTGTGCCCCTGTTTTTTTGTTTTTGTTTTTTCTGGTGGAAGGAGAAAAGGAAAGGGCTGTGTCCCTGCTTGTGGGTGCGATGTACCCAGTCCAGGTGCAGTGTTGACTTGCTGAGAGGTTTCTACAGGAGAACACACGTGCTACAAGATGACTTCATACAGTCCTGGTCTCACTGTTTGTAGCTCTGAGCACAGTGTGATCATTGGTCTGGTGTCCATCAACCTCACGGATGCAAAATTCTTTGAGAGTAAATAGCACACAGACCTGGGCTTGCTCAGCACTCGGCAGTTGCCCAATAGATAGGAAGTGGGGTGGAGGTAAAGAGGAAGGAAGGTAGGGAAAATATCCTGTTAAAGTCTGCAGTTTATGACTCAACTTCATTGCCTCTGCTTGTAGGCAGACAACTTTGGTGGTCTATGTCATGACTCTGGTAGGCATGGTGGTCTACACATATACTTTAAACCTGGGACACCTGTGGGTAGTGTTCATCACGGCTGGCGCAATGGGGTAAGTTGTACTTCGAACCTACTTAACTGGAAAGCACCATCCATGATTCCAAGACCTACTGACATCCTAGGATGAGATAGGGATCTGCCGCCTCTCATTGACTTCTGCAAACGTGGAAATGGCCAGAGGTCATGTTCACTCATAAAGGCTTCAAAATGCTGCCTGGGGCACCCAGGCCCATCCATGCTGTTGAGATGGACTATGTCCATCATAAATCTCTGGGAAGCTAGGAAATGTTTAGCATCTTTATGAGCTCTGCCTGGGACAACATGCGGTCACAGAAAGTACACAGGCCTGGGGATCAGAAAGGGTGGGTCCTGAGCTCAATGTTGCTGACTGTTTATTAGATCATAGGCACCTCCCTACCCACTGTGAGGCTCAGTGTCTTTATCTGTAATTGCAGATGAGTGGCCTCCCTTGTGGAGTTGTTGGAAAGAAGGAGAGAAATAACAGGTGTGAAAGCACCAGGAAGTGTGGTGCAGTTGAAAGAGATCAGAGCTGGAATTTTCTAGACCTGTTGTATGAGAAAGTATAGGAAATGGCGCCCCTTCGACAGGGATCTCTGCTCAGCTTCACCTCTTGCTTATTTTCCTATGGACAGTACATGCGAGGGTGTGTGAGCGTATGTGTGTAATGACCACCTAGAGGGTGGCCTGATTTTCAAGGGCCTGGCGTGTCTTGATGAGAAGAAACAGAAAAAGGAGTTGTAGGGCAGGAGATGGGCACCCTTTTTTCCTTTTTCCGGACGTTCTCCATCATCTTGTTTCTGTGATCTGGGCTTTAGCTTCTTTATGACTGGCTACCTCCCATTGGGATTTGAATTTGCCGTGGAGCTGACATACCCAGAATCAGAAGGCATGTCATCTGGCCTCCTCAACGTGTCTGCCCAGGTAGGCTTCTCGTTGGGTGGTGGCCTTGAAGCCGTGGGTCCTTGTTCCCTCCTGGGCTCGGCGGGAGCAGGCGCTGCATACGGGCAGCTCAGCTCCCCTGTGGGCTGGTTGCCTGGGCCCCTGTTTCCAGTCTTCTCCGTGACTCTGCAGGTATTCGGGATCATCTTCACGATCTCCCAGGGCCAGATTATTGACAACTATGGAACCATGCCTGGGAACATCTTCCTGTGTGTCTTTCTGACCCTTGGAGCAGTGCTCACTGGTGAGTCGGGGCCTCAGGACAAAGTGATGCTCTGACTGTGCCTGAGTTTAGACTGTTGGCAATGAACAATGAAAGCCAATGTCTTGACTGATCATGCAGCTAAGGGGCTCACGTGCAGCAGGGCAGACGAGAGGGCTCATGAGGAAGTATCTTTGGCAGGCAGTAGCATATTTTGTTGGAATGAGCTTCAGTTTTGGTCTCAAAAGACCCTTGTTGGAATCCTGCACTGTGACACTGACCTCCATAGCTCTTTGACCTTGGGCAAGTGGACCAACCTCTGGGAGCCCCACTTTCCTAATCTGTAGAATGGAGATTGCTGTGAGGATTGGAGCACTGTGTGCAAACTTCCTGCAAATATCAGGGGTCTATGCATGGAGGCCAGCGTCATCACTAGCTTCTTCCTGTCTGGCACAGCAGTGGTCCCCCAGGCTCTGTCAAGGTGGCTGATGGAACCTCCAGATCCCTGGAAGATCTGAAGGAGGTGGGATACTCGTGACCCTTAGGAGAGTTAAGAGCTCCCTCTTGTGGATGAGCTTGACCATTGCTCTGCTTGATAACTTTCTGTTGCCCTTCTTCTGTGTCCTTGAACCTCAGCATTCATCAAGGCAGATCTCCGGAGGCAGGATGCAAACAAAGAAATTCCTGAAAATGTGAGTATGTGGGAGCTGCCGGGGGAGATGTGGGCGCAGACTTTGCTGAGGCGGTGGCCTTGGGGGGAGGCGGGGGGAGTGCCCGGGGACTGGTGGCTGTGAGAGCAGCTCAGCGTCGCACACGTGGAGACAAAGGGCTTCCTCCGTGGGGCTCAGTCCCGCTTTTCTGCTGCCCTCTCCGGGTTTTTCTCTCACTTCCTTCCCTGCTCCTGGCCTCCCTGCTCTGGTCCCCAGAGCTGGTCCCTGTGTCACAGTCTGCCGGGCAACACCCGCCCCGGGGTCCCGAAACAAGTCCCGAGGCCCCGGCTCCTCTCCTCTCAGCCTGGGGTTCTTGAATGGAGAGGAAATGTGGGGGGCTGGCTCCTTCATCCTGTCATAGCGGTGGTGGCCCCGAGGGAGTGGCTCTCCTGCATGTGGCAGGCCCTCAGGAGGTGCCCGGGAGGGACCAGAGCCAATGGGCTGTCAGCAGGGCTCCAAAAGTATACGTCAGGAAGCAGGAGTGGATCATGGTGGAAGGGGAGAGGACCTGGAATTATTAGATAGAGAACAGAAAAGTATTTCCCATCTTTTCTAATCGGCTGGGAACTATTTTAACCATCGTGCTGTGCTGGGTTTAGTCGTGTCCGACTCTTTGTGACCCCATGGGCTATAGCCCGCCAGGCTCCTCTGTCCATGGGGATTCTCCAGGCAAGGATACTGGAGTGGGTTGCCATGCTCTTCTCCAGGGGCGAAGGGATCGAACCCAGGTCTCCCGCATCGTGGGAGGATTCTTTACCATCTGAGCCACCAGGGAAGCCCAGGAATACTGGAGTGGGTAGCCCATCCTTTCTCCAGGGGATCTTCCCGACCCAGGAATCGAACCAGGGTCTCCTGCATTGCAGGTGAAGCTACCAGGGAATCCTTTAACGAATGTGTTAGATATCAAATCTGAATCAGGATGAAAGGAATTTCAGCTCTCAGGAGGCAGTGGGATATTGCTTAAAAGAACAAAACACCCAAAACCTGTTACAGAGGTAATACACATTCTTTGCAGAAAAAAATTTTAAATATAGCAAAGTGTACACATTTTTTAATTTTTTGTTTTAAAGTGTACAAAATTTAAAAGTCATCCTGTAATAGCATCACCTAGAGATGAGGTCCCGTCTTTTTGCATTTGCTCACACATGTCTGTGTACACATATAATATATATGTGTGGGTATATGTATGTATTTTTTAAACAAAAATAGAGTCTTGTGCTTTTGTTGTTTTGTAAGCTTTCTTGTTCTACGTGCTTTTGTACTTTCTGCAAGCGCTTTGTCAGGTCACTAGTCTTTTACAACATACTTGACGTCACACTGTTCTAATAACTGCACATGGACAGACGTGATTTGATTGACAATTTTTCTGTCCAGGAACACTAAGATTGTTTCTGATTGTCATTAGAGATGATATTGTGTTTACTGTTCTGGAGTTAACTCTTTGGGCATATTCTTAAGCACTGTATTTTCTTGAGAAACAGATTAGTGGTTGTGCTGTTGTTAAGACTTTGATATGTGTTACCAGACTGTCCTGTAGAAAGAAGGTGCTATCAATACTACTAATGTACATTGCTCTAGCAGTGTATGAGGCCAACCCTGAGTATTTATCATTTTGAAAATCTTTGCCAATTATCTAAGGCAAAAATGGTATCTGAAAGAGGTACGTTTAGTGCTTTAAGGATATGCGCTGAGAGATGGATGCTAATCTCTGTTCCCTTCTTGTTTGTCCTCTGATCTCACACTCTGGAGTTGGCAGGTGGCAGCAGGTAGCAGGTGAAGGGGGCGATGCCTGGGACAGGGCATTAAGTGGGGCCACAGGAAATGCCTGAGACGGAAGCGGTCTTCTCAGGAGCCTGTGAGAAGCGTGGCATCAGCCCTGCGGAGATGGACTTGTCCCTGTGCCATAGACGAGGAAGCGTGATTTGGGACACTTTGGTGACTATTAGTGTGAGCCTATGAAAAGGTGCCTATGATAACAGGATGGATTTCTCGTGAAAAGATTTCAGTTTGAAATGTGATGCATTGTGTCAAGCGATATGAGATTCTGCTGTGTTTACTTTGTAATCTGTGTTTCCCTGGGCAAAAGCAAACAGAAGAAAGTAAAGGTTGCTTGTAGTCCCAGTGCCCAGAGATAACCTAGTAACATGTTAGTCATTTTCCAGTGTTTTCTGTGGATGTAGAAATGTGCTTGTGCACGCTGGGCTTTCTGCCCTGCTTGTTTCCTTAGGAGAGTCTGACCAGCTTTCTACACCACTACCCCCCAGCCCCACATCTCCATGTACACATTTTCATTTCCTCCGGGTACTACCTAGGTCGGCCCACACTTCCCCGTCTCACAGGCAGATCCTTGTCCCCGTGGACCAGGTTTGTTACCCAGTAGGCGGTGAGCGCTCAGTCTGTCCCTGAGGACTGTGGGAAGCAGCACGGGTCGGACCAGGAGGCCAGCGGGTGCAGGCGGTCACGGTGCTGTCCCGGATACTCCCCAGGTGTCCGCACCTCCCTCGCTCCTGGGGGGCCTGGTGGGACGGGGGTCAGAGTCACGTGGGGCTGGTCCCAGGGAAGTCAGGGCTGTCAGGGGCGTCGTGAAGGAGCCGTCATTTCCCCCACCGAGGTGGCAGGCGTGATTGGGACCTGCAGGCCATCCCAGGACTTCAGTCTCAGCACCAGGGGACAACAGGGCAGGGAGTGCATCAGGCCAGAGCTGCGCATTCTGATCAGTGAGGTGGGTCATTGGCAGAAAGAGCCAGAACTTCCAGTGGGTCAGGACTGATGCTGATTATGACAATCTATGTTTGGGTTTCCATTTTTCTTCCAGTTGGTAGTTCTCGGCTACAGAGACATAAGCCTTGTTTGGTTGTGATTTCAAGGTGATGGCGCTGAAGGAGGCGGGTGTGTGTGCATGAGTGTGTCAGAGACAGGAGGTGGCGTGACTGGTTGAAGTCGGCTGCTGGCTCCTAAGTGAGGGCTTCTCAGGGCTGAGGCCGAGCTGGTGCCAACATTAGCAAGATGGAGAACCAGATGCTGGATCTCCCACTGTTGCCTCTGCCACGGGCTGCCCTGGGGGTCGTGGCGGGTGAAATGCCGTTTGTCCAGCTGATGTGGCCTACATGTGCTCCGCCAGCCTCGAAGGTCAGAGCTGTGTGGGGCTCGGCCTGTGCTGGAGGCCTTGTTGGGAACGAGATGAGCCCCTGAGGGGAGAAGCAAAGTGCTCCTGAAAAGCAGACAAACGCCCAAGGTGGTAGTCAGCACCTAGGAAGCTCAGAGCATAATCTCCAGGGCACGTTTAAATCCCACCCAGCTAACAAGCGTGACCCTGAATGCCTTCTAATTCTGTGCCAACAGCCCCAAGAAATCTGATGACAAACTGACCCAGAGTCTCTTTTTCTATGGGGAAAAGATATTCACATATAAAGTCTCTTTTTCTATGGGGAAGCTATATTAATATATACATATTTTGAGCCATAATACATCCTGTCTTTGTGACAGTTTGCTGTGCATCTGTTCCACACACATGGTAACCTTGTTCATCATCCTGGGGGCTGCCCCTGACCGGGGGTAGTCAGCACTCCCGAGGGGGGTGCAGACCTGGCCCTTCCACAGGCATGCGGGGGTCCATCCAGGTGGGGTGAGGCTGTCAGAAGGGGAGGAGGGTGACGGGAGCTCAGTGGCACTCACAGTGAGATGGTTCTGGAGGCTGTGGTGTCCCGGAAGGCTGGCCTTTTCACTCCTTCGCTTCTGTCGTGATGGTGTGTGTCGGGGGAGCTCTGTGCGTGTCCTCTTCCTTGTTCACTGTCGGGGATGCCGAGTGCCTGGGGCTCTGGCTTTCCCCCGGATTCCAGACGCAGGGGCAGGCAGATACTCAGGAGGGCGGAGTCCCTGCCTCCTCACCCCAAGGGCCATCCCCTTGTCTGTCTTGTAGAAACCCCAGGAAGGGGAGGAGGAGGAGGACAGCAAGAGCAGCAAAGCCCCCACCACTGTCCGGGAGGAGCGTCTCTGAGAGAGGGCGGAGGAGCGACTCCGGGGACTCGGACCGCCCCCACCTCTTCAGCCAGCCCAGCTCTGCCTGCCAGCCCCACGGCCTTCACGCGAGCAGCTTCTGGGGGAACTGGGAGGAACATCTGTGTCTTGGAGGACAGAGCCTCTGCCTCCTGGAAGCCACTCCAGAGCGTGCCCCGTCTCCGTGGGGGAGGTGCACTTTCCACCACACAGGTGGGGGCCCTGCCTTCCCCCTGCAGGCTCTGGGAGCTGGGGAGGCAGAGAGAAGCCTGGAGTCAGTCCTGGCTGCTGCCTCACCTTCCTGCTCCAGCCCATCCCTCGGGACAAAGCCTGCACATTATCCCAAAAGAAAGCTTATTCAGGAGATTAATTTTTCTAGTGTCTGAAGACCCTTAGGAGCCCAGTTCTCAGGAGCAGCAGCTGCTCTGGACGAGGGTCATTATTGGGCCCCAGACTGACCACTGACCTTCTGTGGGAGAGAAAACACCCTCAGGACACCCCCCAGGACGCCGGGACCAGGTTATTCCGGCTCGTGTTGGCGTCTGTCTGCAAACCCTCTCTCCTCAGAGCTGATCACACCAAACACCATAAACTTGACGAAAACATTAATGTGGCCGAGAAGAAAAAGCCAGTTCAGGGCATTGACCTCCTTGGGATGTGATGGTGCTAATGAATCTGGGGAGTCTGGCAGCCTGACTTGGGAACAGAAAGGCTCTTTTCTGCAGGAGGTGTCCTGGCCCAGGGCCTTGTGCGCTCACTGTCACCTCTGCTGCCTTCCTCCGGACGCCACTCGGGGGCTCGTGTCCTCCTACCTGTGACCCTCACTGCAGACTCACCTGGGTCCTTCCCCCCTGAGAACTCCAAAGGTCCCTGAGAGATGAGGGGAAGGGGCAGAAGGAGAGGTGGCCCGTGAATGGGACTCGGGTCTGCTCGGTTAGGTAAGCGCGTCCACCTCTGAGGGGGACAGTGTTTGCAGCCCCAGCCCCTCTCCCCACCCCTCTTCCATCAACAATCCTTTCTCAGATATCCTGAATTTAAAGGGACTCCTTCCAACCAGGGGCCCTCAGGTGTTGCCAGTGGTAAAGAATCTGCCACTGGAGACGCAAGAGACACGGGTCCGATCTCTGGGGTGGGAAGATCTCCTGGAGCAGGAAATGTCAACTCACTCCAGTATTCTTGCCTGGGGAATCCAACGGACAGAGGAGCCTGGCGGGCTGCAGTCCATGGGGTCCCAGAGGCAGACACTTCTGAGCGCGCACAGACGCACATGTCCTTCCAACCCGTGCACAGACGCACATGTCCTTCCAACCAGCCCAAGCTGCCCCGTCCTGCCTTGCCTGCTGTCTGGCTCTACACACGGGCTTGGGGAGAATCTCCTCAAAATAAGACATTTTGGTTGTTTCTCATGTCCTTGAGCTCTGTGATCACAACTCCTATGCTGTTTTGTTGTGGCCACTGCCCGGGGCTCAGAATATTGGAGCTGCCTGCGTGGAAGTGGTGCTGGGTGCTTGGGCCACTGCCCAAGGGCAGCTGGTGTGTGTGTGTGTGTGTGTGTGTGTGTGTGTGTGTGTGCGTGTGCGCGCACATGTGTGTATACAGTACTCTGTACATAAAAGAAGTTCACACTTCTGGTGCAAGGACTGAGTTAGTGGTAGAAAGGAGGTGGAAATGGAAGGTGCCTTACTTTTTAATAAGGAGAAAGTGTTTACTCTTGAGCCTCTTAATTTTATAAACAAAATGTTTACTGAAACCATCATTTTATTTGAAATCATAATTTGTATTTTCTGTTTGTAACACCAGATATATTAAAGCAATAAAATATCCTCCATGTGGTCTGCCTTGTCACTTGTTGGGGCAGAGATGGCTTTGGTGGTGGGAACAGGCTGGAGGGCTGGGGGCTCGGGGTAGAGGAGGCAGTCCTCCACACTGTGGAAGGTGGTCCTCTGTAGACATAGATGTTACCATGCTGGTGGGTTATTTTTTAAAGATAAGGCTGCAGACGTTACTGTCTGTCCATGTGGAGAGTGCAACTCAAAGCCGGATCTGTGGTTCCAACAACTTTCCATTCAGCGTGATCTTTTTACAGTTCATGTCAACCACATCAGTCCTCCACTTAAAACCCTCTTCTAGCTTCTTACCTCAACCAAAGCTCAGACCTCATCAGAGCCCACAAGACCCCATGCACTATGGCCCCCACCTTCCTATCTGACCATCTGTCCTCCACTGTTCTGTTCAGTCTCTCTGTTCCAGCTACACGACCTCGCTGCCTTGCCTTGAATGTACCAAGCATGTTCCCACCACAGGGCCATTGCACATGCCAGTGCCGTGTCTGGGGTTCACTGGCGGCAGATGTCCATATGACTTGTTTCCTCACTTCAGCTCAAAGGTACTATATGTGCATGTATGTATGTAACTGAATCACCCTGCTGTGTGCCTGAAGCATTGCAAGTCAACTATACGTCAATAAAATATGTATATTAAGAAAAAAATTCCATGGACAGAGGAACCTGGTGGGTTAATGTCCATAGCATCACAAAGAATTGGGCAAAACTGAGTGATTGAGCTTCATCATCAATCTACAAAGGACCATCCAATGATCTCTCAAAATTGCTTGGTTTGTGCTAAAAATAACCCAAAGACTGCTGTCAGATCTCCCGGGATAGGGATCCAACATAGAGGAGCCTGTGCCACCGAGGACTGACAAATAGACTTGACTTAAGTGCCCTGAGCCGCAGGAAATTTCAGATTCCTGCTAGTATTGGTGGTCCTTTTCAGGACTGGTGGAGACACCAGGACTGAAAAAGCCTCCAAAGTGGTGAAGGAAAATTTCCCCCAATTTGGATAGTCTAGCACCCTTCAAAGTGATAACAAGGCTGCTTTTTCTCTCTAGCATAATCCAACAAATGTCTAAACCACTGCAGATTAATGGAAAGCTATATTCATCCTGGAGTGCACATTCAATAGGAATAACAGAGAAAATGAATTCTACATTAAATAACATTGCTAATATATGCTGAGACTAATTTAACTTGAGGTCAGGGCTTGACAGTTGCCCTACTATGGATCAGAGTGGCTTCCAGAAGCAGGCTTAAAATTTACCTCTTTGAAATATTGTATGGTAGGCCATTCCATGTGTCTGCCCAGGAGGGAGAATGTATAAATACTTTGAAAGATTTAGCAGTTGCCAGTTATATTAAAACTCAAGTACAGTGCAAACCTCTGTCTATGAGCTTGCTTCTAGCAAGCAGTCCTTTCCGGCCTGGACACTGCATCCTCTTAAAACATGTGGAGAGCAAGGGCCTGAGCACCAACTGACTGCAAAGTGGACAGAACCACCTGTGGTGTTACTTTCCACACACTCATCTGTCAGATTAGCTGGAGTAAAGCCATGGATACATCACTCAGGTCAAAGCAGCCTCACCATCGTCAGAAAATGACCCAACTCCTGAGAGTCCTAGAGAGCAATGTGTTTGTGAACCCTTAGAAGACGTAAGGTTGCTCTTCAGAAAGGTAAGTATTGAGAGTAAAATTTCCTTGCAGAAGGAATTTCATCAGGTTCAAATAGTTCAAGAGAATTGTTTTACTTACTAAAATTATTAAGGAGTATTCCTGACCCAAAGCTGATCAATTCCATTTTATGATCACCCCCTCATTGCCTCTGTTCAGCAGGAAGTAGCCAAAACAATCATCACCCCTTATTCCCACAAGATTGTGGAATGGACATTGATAGATAGGAATTGCAATAGGGGTGGGGCAAGCACTTGGCTGTTAGTGAGTGACTGTTAGAGGTTCCGCCCAGCCATTGGTTAGAGTCAGAGTGGGCCCCCTACTTCCTCCATTTAAAAGGAACTGAGTTCAGACTGAAGGAAGTTGGGTTTTGTTTTTTTTTAATGAAACAAAGATGACTATTTTTAATGATAAAAGGTACAATTCACTAAGAAGATGGACATCATAAACAAAAAGCAAAAATCAGAAGAAATATAAGGGAAAAGAAAAAGTATATAATCATAAGTGAGACATATAAACATTTCTCTGAGAATATTTTATCAAGTACATAAAAAATAAGAATAGGAGCATCTGGAATGATGTCATTAATAATTTAAATATAGTAAATCTGTTTATATTAATTTATATTAACCTTATATACTATGCAAATATATTTAAAATTCTATATCTCATAAGTTATTAGATGTTCAGAGGACATTTAGAAAAACTGACAAAAGATAAACATTACTAAATTTCAAAAAGTAGAATTCTTTTTTTGGTGATTCAGTTATACAAACAGATATATATTATTTTTGAAATTATTTTCCATCATAGGTTATTACAAGATATTGGCTATCGTTCCCTATGCTATACAGTAAACGTTTGTTGCTTGTTGCATGTCTATCTTTTTTAAATTAGAAATCTAGCATTCTATTCATGCTAAGTCAAACAAGTAGAATCAAGCTGTCATAAATTTTTTCAGTCAGACAAAAATTCATAAGGTTTCTAAAATATATATATATTATACATATTATTTATATATATGTATAGAAGAGGTTTTCTACTATACTTGATAAAGAACTACACTTCAAAAAGAAAAAAAAAAGGAAGAGATGGAGAAACCAGAAAGCATAAACTAAATGAAATGGGAGCACTGAATATGAAGTAGAAAAAGTGAAACAAACTAAATAAAAGTAAAAGATCATCATAGAGTCCAGTTACTTTTAAACAGGGCTGCTCATTAGAAACATATCTGGAGCTCTGGTGAAAAAAAGCAATACCTGGGCATTTGTATTTTTCAAAAGCTCCAAGATAATTCTGATATGCATCTGGATTTTAAAAGTGATTACAGGGTTTTCTATTAAATTATAATATAGAATTTTGTTATTTTCTGAAAACCAATCATAATAAAATGGTGTTAAGTAATAGTTTTATAATTGAAAGGTTGCAGCTGCAAGCCATGTGCTATGCTGGGACTCATGACCTCCAGCGGAGAGGATTTTGATCCAGGGCCAGAGTCAAGGCTTGATCACTCAGACATTTTGTGTAGCAAAAGTTTTGTTGTAGGTAGGAAGTGGGGGGCCCTCTCCAGGGCCCTGAGAGAGGTCTCTTGTCTAACACTCAGAAAAGAATAGTCTGAGGAGACACGTGCTGACAAAGCAAGAGATTGTATTGGGAAAGGGGCGCCCAGGCGGAGAGGAGCAGGGTCAAGGAACCTAGGAGGAGGACTGCTCTGCCATGTGGCTCTTGGTCTAGGGTCTGATGGTGATGGGATTAGTTTCCGAGTTGTCCTTAGCCAATCATTCTGACTCAGTCCATCCTGGTGGCGCACACACCCATGCATCACTCGGCCAATACGGATGCCAGCGAGAGGGATTCTGGGAGGTGAACGGACGCGTGGTGTCTCCTTTTGACCTTTCCTGAACTCTTCCGGTTGGAGGTGGCTTATTAGTTCCGTGTTCCTTACCAGGACCTCCTGTCCTGAAACAACTCATGCAAATGGTTACTAGAGAGCCTGGCCAGGGTGGGCGGTTTCAGTCAGTATGCTTCCCCTAACAGTTTTGTTCAAGTATAAAAGGGATAGAGAAAGCTTCCGACATAGACATCAGAATGGGACAGAAAGAGTGCCCCCTTGCTAGGTTTTAGCCAAGAGTTATGCATCTGTTAGCAAGTTGCTAATCAGATAAAAGAAACACTTAAAAACGGAGAGAGTTGCACCAGGCCCCTCTCCTACCACATGCATTTTTGATAGCATTGGCACAACATGAGTCGCCCTGGGCCATAAAACAGTGGACATGAACCTTGAAAAAAGGCAGATTTCCAAGCAAATACATAGTTTCATTAGCATAGCTTAAGAAATCTTTTCCATGAGTAAGATATACTGGTTTGTTGAGCCATTATCAGTTCAAGGTTTAAGAAAAAGCTTAAGTCTTAGGCAGAACCAATTTGAAGAAAGGCAGATTCCAAGGCAAATACATAGTTTCATTAACATAGCTTAAGAAAAAGGTTTCCATAAGAGAAACGCATTGGTTAGCTTAAGGTTTGAGAAAAGTTAAGTTCAGACAAATAGATGGGGGAACAGTGGAAACAGTGGCTGACTTTATTTTTCTGGGCTCCAAAATCACTGCAGATGGTGATTGCAGGCTTGAAATTAAAAGACGCTTACTCCTTGGAAGGAAAGTTATGACCAACCTAGACAGCATATTAAAAAGCAGAGACATTACTTTGCCAACAAAGGTCCATCTAGTCAAGGCTATGGTTTTTCCAGTAGTCATGTATGGATGTGAGAGTTGGACTATAAAGAAAGCTGAGTGCCAAAGAATGGATGCTTTTGAACTGTGGTGTTGGAGAAGACTCTTGAGAGTCCCTTGGACTGCAAGGAGATCCAACCAGTTTATCCTAAAGGAGATCAGTCCTGGTGTTCATTGGAAGGACTGATTTTGAAGCTGAAACTCCAATACTTTGGCCACCTGATGCAAAGAGCTGACTCATTTGAAAAGACCTGGATGCTAGGAAAGATTGAGGGCAGGAGGAGAAGGAGACGACAGAGGATGAGATGGTTGGATGGCATCACCGACTCAATGGACATGGGTTTGGGTGGACTCCGGGAGTTGGTGTTGGACAGGGAGGCCAGGTGTGCTGTGGTTCATGGGGTCTCAAAGAGTCGGACATGACTGAGCGACTGACTGAACTGAAGTTTATGCAGAACCAGGTGTCGTCATGACAACACAGGATTAGAAAAGGAAAAAAAATCTGCTACTTGCAGTTTATTTCCTCCTGCCTCTTGGGGACCCCTAGTCTTCCTACCTGTTACCCTTTCATAATCACAATAGTGAAATATGTTTATCAATTTCTACAATCAATAGCCGGACAAAAAATAAAAGATAATTACAATTGCAAGCCATAATGGGAACATGATTAACCTAACCTGTATTGTGAAACTTGATAACCTAACCCAGAGCAAGCTTGGGCTGGTTAACAGCCGGATATGCTTTCATGTTGACCCCTCTGGAAGGCAATACATCAGGAATTGCCTCTCAGAAGTCACTTCAATCACACTTTCCTGTGCCTTCTGGGGCCAGTCAGCAAGCTGAGAGGTCGGGAGTTTAATATGAAAGAAGTGATTCATAACCTTGAAGAAACCATGGTAAATGGAGGACTTAGAGAAGCAAATACTCATGCTACAGTGAGACAGGAGCTGCCAGAAACAGACGGGCAGGATGTGAGGGGAGCCCCTGAATCACACTTGGGCTCTAAGGAAGGCTTCCTGGAGGAGGTGATGCTTGTCCTGCAGTGAGACAGGACACTAGGCATGATGTGTTCATAGTGATGCCTGGGAGCTGCAGGCGGGTGCAGCATGTGGAGGGAAAGCTGGGAGTGGGCGGTGGTGGCAGAGGCGGCCAGAGCGACATCACAACTTCCTATGTGCTAAGCCAAGGGGTGAGAACCTTCTGGAAGGTAGGGGCAGCCACCGGAGGACTCAAGGCAGGACAGAGGCAGGACAGAAGGGTGAAGAGGTGAAGTGAAGAGCCCTGTAGAGAGTGTGATGGGGAACGAGAGGCGTAAGAACAATGAACAGCGTCGCAGGGTCAAGGGAAGAAGCCATGAGAATCTGAACTAGAGTGGTGTCCATGGGGAAGGTGGTGAGGAGGCCAGCACCCAGTGGCAGAGTGATTGCTTCTCAGGGCTTGGGTTTGGCTGACTGGGATCTGACAGGGCTACTCACTGACACACAGGATTCAGGGGAGAAGCAGACCTGGGCTTGGCCTTTGGATGCTGGGGCAGCACATGAGCTATAAATAGAAAAGTTTAAACCTCCACAGAGTCTACAAGCCTGAAAGTCACTAGAAGCAGGTGGAAGGTCAGAAAGGGTGAAGACAGAGGTAACAGGACCTTGGACCACACACCTGCTTTTCTGAGGAGACACCCAGCATGGCTTGGGAGGACACAGCTCAACTGAAGAGGCTTCCCTGCAGCTCCAGGGTTGGAGGTTTGGTGCTCATTTTAGCTCCAACATTATAAAGTCCAGGATGGAACTGACCTCACCCCTGGACATCACCTGTGGGCTTCAGTGAAGCAGCACAGTCTTCATTCAACTTGTTCCATTTTTAAATTTTACAGCTTTGTTTTTTAAACCAAAGCTTTATATAGTTTAAAAAATCAATAGTCATGTATTAAAAATGTCACTGCTCACCCTGTTTTCCTGGTCCCCTGAGGTAACTACTTTCAGTTATTAGTAGGTGATTTTTTGGTATTTATCTCCATAGTTCTAAATAACATGGGTATATAGATACTTCTAGGCTTCCCTTGTGGCTCAGCTGGCAAAGAATCCTCCTGCAATACAGGAGACCCTGGTTTAATTCCTGGGTGGGGAAGATCCCCTGGAGAAGGGATAGGCTACCCACTCCAGTATTCTTGGGCTTCCCTTGTGGCTCAGCTGGTAAAGAATCTGCCTGCAATGCCGGAGGCCTGGGTGCAATCCCTGGGTTGGGAAGATCCCCTGGAGAAGGGAAAGGCTACCCACTGCAGTATTCTGGCCTGGAGAATTCCATGGATTGTATAGTCCATGGGGTCGCAAAGAGTCAGATACGACTGAGACACTTCCACTTTCACTATAGATACTTCCTGATTCTGTCACATTAGGCATTGTCTGTTGATTTTCCAATGTGGTAGACAAGGATTTAGCTCTGCTCATTCTACCCTTACTCCACCACATACATGTGCTCACTTCCCATTCCCCCATCCTCCCAATACAGTTATGCCATTTTGGATTATATCAACTTTGTTTTCACAATATTATGATTGTGTTCACATTGTTCACAACTGAAGTCACTTCAAGTAACCACCGCTTTGTTCCCCTTTCCTCCATAGCTTTTTATATTCCATTGAAGTTTTAAATTGACTTCCTTCCCCATTTACTTGGATATATCGGTGATACTTATCACTAGTCCAGCCCCTAATTCTCTCCAAGTTCTGTTTACCCCACTCTATATTTTCAAATGCACCCCCCTCAGTGTCATCTTATTGATAGAGTCTTTCCTGGAGTCTTTGATCAGCTCCCACCCGAATGGGCTGTTCCCCTGCCTGACCCATCGCTGTCCGCCTGGGAAGTTTCTTTTCCACAGTCTCAGTGATCCCCACCCGCTGCCCTCACGGCCGTTTCCTGAATCTCAGCTCTTACTCTCTCTAGGTCTCCTTCCTTGTTTTGGTGGCGCATATCCTTTAGCAGCTTCCGGACATAGAGGGAGGCAGTTCATTTTCAGAAGTTTGCAAGTGTGAAGCTATCTGACTCACACGTTGCTTCGGTAGTTCGATATAGGATTCCAGGCAGGAAAGGATTCTCCTTCAGAGTGCATCGTTCTACTAAGCTCCAGTTTCCCAGCTTGAAGACAACCTGCTGAGATTCTGCACCTGTTTTCTTGAAAGTGTTTTATGAACCTGTTCTTATCTCTCTGGAAACTCACTGGATCTCCTCGTTGTCCCAGTTTTCTGAAATGCCGTGGTGATGTGGAATTCAACTCAATTCTATGGACAGGTATCCAGATAGGCATGTGCAGTGAAACTTCTCTAGTTCAGGATTCCAGGCTGTATGGAAATGTTCACAAGAACTTGGAGCTAAAATATAAGGAAAATGAGGGAGGTGAGGCAGACAGTGGGTGAGTGTGCAGTATTACACATGTAAATTACAAATACAAGATGTCCAAGGGCACCATTTTTACAAATTCCAAGTGTCAATACTTTCTAAGAGGGACTCATCCAGGGTCTCAACCTGATGTGTTAGCCTTCCCATTCCCTCCTCATGCTCCATGCTCCCCCATCTACAGCCCCAGTGGAGGTGATGGTAAACCAGTGTATGATACCTGGACTTCAAGTTTAATTCCTATTGCCATGAGTAGTTGTTGGCCTCTAGGGGGCAGACTGTGCTGCCTTTCTGTAGAGAACCAGGAGCTGGTTCTTTCCACAGGGATGCTCAAACCTGGCTGCAAGTTGACATCACCAGGGGAGTTTTAAACATGCAGATTCTGGGGCCACTCTCAGAGATCTTGACCTGAGATGCAGGTCAGGTTTTGGGAATGTGAAGATTTCCCCTGGTGATTTTAATATGCAGCTCAAGTTGAGGTGGCTCAGATGGTAAAGCATCTGCCTGCAATGCAGGAGTCCTGGGTTCGATCCCTGGGTCGGGAAGATCCCCTGAAGAAGGAAATGGCAACCCAATCCAGTACTCTTGCCTGGAAAATTCCATGGATGGAGGATCCTGGTAGGCTACAGTCCATGGGGTCGCAAAGAGTCGGACACGACTGAGAGACTTCACTTTCACTTTCAAGTTGAGAACCATAGCCCCAGAGCTTTAAATTCTTCATTTTGGGGGTGAAGATTAAAAAAGAAAGCAAGAAAGCACAGGTACCCAATGACTAATGTGCAAACCAACAAATCACCTAGATGTCTTTTAAAATGCAGCCTCTAGTTCAGTAGGTCCAGGGTGAGCCTGGGCTTTGTAACAAGCTCCCAGGGCATGCCCACACTGCTGTCCCCAGACTCTGCCTGAGGAGCTAGGCTGTAGCTTGGATGAATACGAGATGAAACTTATGGCTCTTTAGGTCAGTTGAGACTTTATTTCTATGAGGGTCAGTTTTCTGATCTATAAAATGCCGTCAAGCAGTAGCACTTACATCACAGAATTCTTGGATGCTAAAATGGGGTAACATAGTATACATTTATAGCACAATAGAAATGTTCAATTTTTTATTGTTAAGATATCTGACACTCTTGGAATGCTTACTGTCTGCCAGGAATGTTCCAAGTGCTTTCAAACCTTAACTCATTCAAGTCTCAGAACAACACTGTGAGGTAGGTATTATTATTATTATCACCCCTGTTTTACTGATTTTCCAAGCTACTGAGGCACAGAGAGGTGGGGTGTCTTAGTCTACTAAGCAGGCTGGGAGCAGCTAAGTCGGTGTTTGAACCCAGGGAAGATCTGGGTTCTTATTCCTCCCCAGGGCTGCCATCACCGCAGGCCTGACCTTCTACAGGCCCTGACTTGAAGGCTCCTCTGCAGAACCGGCGGTGCACCAGCAGGGGGCAGCGTAGGGCCACATGCGTGCAGAGACCACTTAACTTCGTGCGCTGTGCTGGGCACCTCACCACAAAACCTGCGCTGGGTCTATATCGTCTTAGAACTCCCTTCTCTTTTCCGCCCTCAAGTTGTTGCCTAGGAGGCCGCCGCGAGATCCATAAAGAAAGAAGGGTCCTACCGAACAGGTTCAAATCTGAGTTCCCCAATGTAAGACCAGGTTTGCAGGGAAAGCAAGGAGCAAAGCGAGTTTTCTGCATCTCTTCTTTACCCCAGAAGTGTAACCAGCCCAGGAAATCTACAAATCTGTCTTTATGCTGCAAGTCCGCAAAGGCTGGGGAGGTAAATTAGGTAAATTATTTAAAAAAGAAAAAAGGTATGTAATTATAAAAAAAAAGAAAAAGGTAAATTATTTTAAAAAATTAGGGTTAGGGTTAGGCAGGTAAATTCGGGAATTCCTCCTGAGTACCACAGAGCAGTCTGGAGTTTCCAGGCATCCATGTGGGCACACAGGGCATTCCCACTGGCCCCTAGGAGACTCTATATAGAGGATTACCTTGGAATGATGGAGGGTATTTCTTGTGGAGTCACCAGGAAGGGGCAAGTGAATGTGAGGTGCAGTGCATGGATAGGGGTTCACCGGCCTGTGTGTAAGGCATTCTGAGCTTGGAGGAGGAATGCACCCACACGCAGTGGCAAAACTGCAGTTCTGTGGTGCCAGTGACTGTAGAAGGTAGGAGGCAGAGTGGGTGGAGCTGGCTGGTCAGGGAAGCCCTGCGGGGAGGCGGGTTGGCAGTGGCAGCCGCTGGGCAAGGCCCCAAGCCCGCCCTGGAGGTATCGTGGTCTTGCAATGTGGCTGCACAAGGAGATAACTATTTCCAGGATGGAGGTGCTGACCTTTGCCAGAATGCTTCGGGAGGCCTCCAGTCACCAAGCACCTGCGGCCATGACTGGCCTGAGGCATTTCTCACCAACCTCGGAGACAGTGGTCTGGGACAGAGGTCATCAAGGCAAAGTAGGAGCAGAAGCTTGGGGTCAGTGCGGGGAGCCCCACTCAGGGCTCTTAGGTGGGTGCTGGGGATTCTGTTTATTCTGGAGTGGGTCTGGGGCACAAGCCCCGAAGGCTCTAGAGGACCAGCTGAGACCACTCTCACTTAAGGCTGCGGGCGTCTGGAGCACCTGCCCAGGGCTCCAGTAGAGGCTGTGGTCATGGAGAAAGAAGATCCCAACCAATGGGGGCACGATGGTACCCCTTCGCAGACGCCCTCACTCAGGACAGAGGCCGGAGACTCAGCTCAATTCAGGAACTTAGGCAGAGAGGTTGTGATCAAGCTGAGCAAGCGCCGGTGGGCGGTGGTCCTGGTGTTCAGCTGCTACTCCATGTGCAACACCTTCCAGTGGATCCAGTACGGCTCCATCAATAACATCTTCATGAACTTCTACGGGGTCAGTGCCTTTGCCATCGACTGGCTGTCCATGTGCTACATGCTGACCTACATCCCTCTGCTCCTGCCCGTGGCCTGGCTCTTGGAGAAGTTCGGCCTGCGGACCATCGCCAGCCTGCAGCCGCATCTCTTCCCAGTCACCGTGCTGGGCCAGGTCGTCTGCTGCGTGGCCCAGGTTTTCATCCTGGATATGGTTTCCTGCATTGCTTCCGTCTGGTTCAGAGATGATGAGGTGTCAACTGCCTGCTCCATAGCTGTGAGTGGAGGAGTGGGCTGGACCTGTGATTTCTGAAAAGCTGTTTATGTCAGACTATTCTATGTCACTAGAATTTGGCAGTTTTTTTTTGCCTGTCCAACCAGCTTTCTTTATATTTTTAATTAATTTATTTTAATTGGAGGCCAACCAGCTTTCTTAAAGTGTAGCATCTCCCATACCACATGGAAAGGCAGACCAGGGCCCTGGTGGCACTCACCTGTTTGCTCACCTTCTTTATACACAGCTGAAGCCAGGACAGCGGGAGCAGAGCTTGGTGTCTAACTCCTTCCCTGGGGATTAGAGTTAAGTCCAAGACGATGGAGTGGAATTCTTATCCTTACTATCCAAGGCCTAGAAACCATGGAAAGGCCTGACAAGCTCATATCTTAATCCTTTGTCTTCCCTTCTGTTTTGGAAGAAAATCTCAAATTCTTTACATTTCAGTGTACTTATAGCCCAGACAGACAGGCATGTTATGAATCTCATCTTTTAAAATTTAAGTAAAACAGATATAACATATTTATAATTTAAGCCTGTGTTAAATGTATAAGTTTACCAGTTATACATCTATAATTCAATGGCATTAGTTTCACAATTTTGTCTATTAGCACTATATGTACCCAAGACTTTTTTTAAATCACCCTCAACAACTCTGTACCCATTAAATAACTCGTCATTTCCCCCTCCTTCCAGCCTCTGTAAGCTCTTCTACTTTCTGTCTCTATGGATTTACCTTTTCTAGGTACTACATGTAACCAGAATCATGCAATATTTGTCTTCTGAATCTGGTTTATAAAATCTGGCTTTATTTTTTTTAATTCTAAAAACACTCAAAAATTTGTGATTATCTTAGATTTTTCAATATTTCGGGTCAGATGAGCTTTCTAGTTTGAGACTTCTGGGGAAAGTAAAGTGCAACTGAATTGCAATTCTGCTTTCTCCCTCATCCCAAAGCCCTCACCAAAGATACAGGCAGGTGGGTGAGCTCAGAGGATGGTGATTCTGGGAAGGAATCTAGACCAGTGCTCCCTCAGTGGTGACCATTTACCTCACCTGTGGGGCCAGGACAAACTACAGATGTCTGGGCCCCCAGGTGGACTTCCTAATCAGATCCTCCAGGGAGGGGCCCAGGCTCCTGTGTTCTCACCCGGCTTCCCAGGTAAGGGTCGTGATCAGACTTAGAAGCAGTAGGACCAAGGAGCAGCGTGCCCTGGGACAACGCCCTCCTGCCTGGAGCCGGGTTCATGTCAGGGCTGGTTTGTCTGTGCTACTGTTTGATGATCCAGTTCCCAGGTGGAGGAGCTGGGAGGTCAGTCACTCTCCAGATTGAGGGGTGAGGATGGGTTTCGGGTGGGCCTGGTAATTCTGATTCATTTAAAGTTTCAAAAATATACTCAAAGCTCTAGGGGGCAGGGTGGGGGAGGCCCTGAAGACCTGTGAGGTGGAACCATAGCATAAGTGCATGCTAAATGGTAGCCTGCCAGGCCCCTCTGTCCACGGGATTCTCCAGGCAGAATACTGGAGTAGGTTGCCATGCCCTCCTCCAGGGGATCTTCCCAACCCAGGGATCGGACCCAGTTTCTTATGTCTCCAGCACTGGCAGGTGGGTTCCCACCTGGGAAACCCCAGGAGCCACAGCAGAAACCCATAATCTCTGTTTCTTTGACCTTCAACTCAGTGCAGCGTGCAAGAGGAGGCTCTGGCTGGCTGGGGTTGACTTCTGTCCTGGCCATGTTGCCTTGGCAGGCAGTCTTGAGGGCCTGACAATTCTGTGAAATCAAGTCTATATCTTCAGTTTGGCATCCAGGGCCCCTCCTCCCTCGCCTTTCCCATCCAGCCTGTTTCTTGTTCTCTCCCAGTCTTTTCTTGGTTATGACCAGTCTGGCTCCCTAATTCTCTCCTTGAAAATACACTGCTTAGAGTTTAAGCCTAAAGCCTTGGAGAGTGACCTCAGTAGATGGTGGACCAAAAAGCTCCCTTTTTCTCCCATAAAAACATTAAGTAAACTAGAAACTGCCTGAAATAACCTTCCCTATGGGGTTTCTGGAAATCAGCCCAAGATCTATGGCAACCTAGCAAATACCAAACCAAGAAAAAGCCACATTCAAAATAGTAGATAGTTTCATGGCTGTTTTACTCACTCATGCTCTGACCCCACCCATCTGCTGTGCTTCCCAATACCTGGTTCCTTTCTGCAAAGCTAAGAGTGCAAACAGACCAAATTTACAGTGTTTCAATCCAACTGTATTCTATATAGCAACAATGAGCAATTCAAGAAGGAAATTAAAAAAACAATTTCATTTACAGTGCGTGGAAAACAATTATTTAGGAATAAGTTTAACCAAGGAGAGGAAACACTTGTACACTGAAAACTAGAAAATGTTACTGAGAGGATTAAAGTCATAAATAAATGGAAAGACATCCTATGTTCATGAATTGGAAGATTTAATATTGTTAAGGTGTCAATAGTATCCAAATAAGTCTATAAATTCAATGCAATCACTATCAAAATCCCAAGGATGTTCTTCACAGATGAAGAAAAATGCATCCAAAAATTCATGTGGAAGCTTAAAGGACACAGAGTATCCAAAACAATCTTGGCGATGAATCACAAAGTTGGAGGTCTCATGGCACCAGTGGACTTGAGGGGCAGTCCTTGCCCTTCTGTGTAATTGCTGAGTTTCCATGGATACTGGCCTTTGTTTTCCTGTGGTTTGTGTTTCCCCCTCTTCCTTAACTTTTCTCCTGTCCTCGTTCTTTCTTCCCCACCTTCTCTTCCGACTAAATGGGAAACTTGTCAAAGGACTGGAACTGTGACTAATACATCTTCCCCATATCTTAGGGCTCTGGGCATAGTAGGCACTTACAAATAAATGGACAGATTAATAAACAGGCATTGCAAGCTGCTGGTGCCATGGGACCCCCACCCAGCTCTCAGGCAGCTGTGTGTGGAGCCTCCAACAGAAGACTGCTTCCTTAGCGCATCAGCTTGCTTATCTGTAACAAGAAATCCAGCTTTACGGGGTGGACACCCAAGTTCAACCAAGTGTGAAAGTCTCTGAACCAGATAAGCCTCCACATACCTTCACTGAGTTCACATTCATTGTAGTCTCCATGGTTAGGAGTTGAGTCCTGGGACTGAGAGTCTTCTTCTAAGAGCCTGGTGGTTTTAGTTTGGTAGCAGATGGCATTGATCAGTGGTAGCAGATGGGAGCTGGTAGGGCTCTGATAGCCCTTGTAACTGAACTGCCTTCTCTCTCTCTGAACATCTTCTCTTTCTCCTTAAAGAAGAGATACCTTATTATTTATGCCAGGATTGCTAGCAAAGTGTTCTCATGCTACTCTGTAAGAATCCACGTCATTTTCTAGAGTGTCCCAACCCTGGCCCACATCTCTGTCCCTTGCAAGTAACCCACACAGCTCTCTGTCCATGCAGTCTTTGTTTCTCCTTGAATTCTACTTGTCTTGGATTGCAACCCTTCCGTCAGCCCCGTGTCTTTCCAGTTGACAGTAGGAAATGCAGCAAATGAGAGTCAGGAAATTGAAGGCTCTCAGCGCCTTGGTCTATCTCATAAAGTGCAACCTCAGATTAAGGTCTATACTTTCTATTTCGAGGGCATGGCCTCTAACCACTATAGTCAGTTTTGGAAACTACGGTTTCATTGAAACGATGTACCACATCCTTTACTTATTGATTGAAAAAAATTGTTTTTGAGCATCTACTCTGTGCCAACCCACATTCTGAGCTCTAAGGATACAATAGGGAATGGGAAAGAAAAAGTCCTTGAGTTCTCGCTTAAGGGAAAAGAATTAGACTATAAGGCATCACTTATGGAGTGACCAGTGGTAGAAGTGTCAGTCCACATAGGAGGGCAGGTGACCTCATGTAAGTAGATCTTGAAACTCCCTAAATCCCAGGCCAGAGCTGATGGTGTGGCTGGGAACAGTAGTTCTGTAGATCTCAGAGCAACATAACATGGTTGGGCTCTGCTGTTCTGCATTGTGTAGTGAGTTGGGTGGACATCTTACCCCAGATGCAGCCTAGTGGCTTCTGGGTTTATTTTTGCTCTGCCAAGTGTGTGAACTGGAGTGACAAGTGGTGCATGATGCAAGTTTGGCTTCCTCCTTTCACCTGAAGCCCTCAGGCTGCATAGGGATGCATTTAACTGGGACATTGACCTGTAAGTGCTCGTGACCACTGCTCTTGAAACAGTGTTTGGATATCACCCCTGAGTTTGCAGAAAGGGCAAAAATCAAATCAAAAATAAATATTGAGTATTTTCGTCTGCATCTCCCTCCTTCATTCACCCCATTTTTTTTTAGATAAGAGAGTAACAAAACTAAGTACTTTAATAAGAATCTTTACCTGTGTATGTAAATATTGACACTTTAACTTATTCAACTCAGAATCTGAAATTAGCACTTGATCAAATTAGCTGGACAACAGTTTTTCATCATCATTCACTTTATTTTGGTTAAACACTTTCTTTTGAGGAAAATAAACCATACTGATTAGCGTCATAGGCTCTGGATTCAGAACTACAGCATGTTTTAAACTCAAGCCCTATAGCTATGTGACCCTGGATGAGTCATCTTTCTGCACGTCAGTTTCAACATCTCTGAAACTGGGACAGTGTTAAGTCCCTCTTTCTGGGGTTGCTGTGAGGATTGTGATACTTCATGGAAAGCTCCAGACATTTAACTGATTAGCATGCTTGTGCGGTGGACTCTAGAGGTAAATGTGAGACCTGCCCTCATGGGGTTGATAGTCTAGTTGGGGAGATAGATGCTAATTGGATAAGCATACAGATATAAAAGCACCTATGTGGGGACTCAACCTGAGCTGGGGGACCAGAGGAAGCTTCCCTGAGGAAGTGGGGCTTGAGCTCAGGCCTGAAGGATATCTGCACTTATGGTGAAACGGAGCTGTGAGGGCCTGCTAGTCTGAGCAGAGAAGCTGGTGTAAAAATCCTTGAGGTCCCCAGGCACAGAGGAGCCCTTTTGGTGTTTGAAACACAGAAAGGAGGCCTGTGTGACAGAGTCCAGGGAACAAGGAGTTGACTAAGGGCAGATGACTCCACATGTAGAAATGTGTGTGTGTGTTTAAGATTTTGGGGTTTCTCTGATAGCTCAGTTGGTAAAGAATCCGCCTGCAAGGCAGGAGACCCCAGTTCGATTCCTGGGTCAGGAAGACCCCCTGGGGAAGGGATAGGCTGCCCACTCCAATATTCTCGGGCTTCCCTTGTGGCTCAGCTGGTAAAGAATCCGCCTGCAAAGTGGGAGACCTGGGTTCGATCCCTGGGTTGGGAAGACCTCCTTGAGAAGGGAAAGGCTACCCACTCCAATGTTCTGGCCTGGAGAATTCCATGGACTGTATAGTCCATGGGGTCACAAAGAGTTGAACATGACTGAGTAGGTTTCACTTAGGATTTTTATCCCTGACTGAAAAACCCAAGGAAGCCACTGGAGTGTTTTAAGCAGGAGAGGTACATAATCTGACCACATTTTCCAAATCTCACTGGCTAGAGAGAGGAGAGAGGCTGGGAGTAGGGCCACACTGAAGCCATAGGAAGGCCCATGCCAACCTTTTTTGAGGCCATAGTCTCCTAGATTCCCTTGACATGTGTTATGGATTCCCTGCAGCTGAAAATATAGGTACTCAGGACCCATCCTAGATCTGAGGGTTCATAGTGGGGTTGGAACTGGTGACCTTTGTCACCAGGCCAGGTTGGGAAACACTGCTCTGGGTGGTGTAAAAATGAGGAAAAATTAACACCACTTTAAAGGAATTTATACAAAGTAAGTTCCCGAGGAACTGAGAATCCAAGTTGGTTGTCTGAGTAATTGTGTATTTTGCCTACGACTATGTTTTGTTGACTCAGAAGGCTAAAAAATCTGCCTGCAACATGTGAGACCTGGTTTCAATCCCTGGGTTGGGAAGATCCCCTGGAGCAGGGAATGGCTACCACCCCAGTATTCTTGCCACTTCAGAATTCCATGGACAGAGGACCCTGGCAGACCACAGTCCATGGGGTTGCAGAGTCAGAAATGACTAAGCGACTAAGCACAGCCCTTACATCCATACATGAGTACTGGAAAAACCATAGCTTTGACTATGTGAACCTTTCTTGGCAATGTGATGAGTGCCTAGTAGATACTCAAAACTAGCCAGCCATCCTACCCTCTTTCCACTCCCACTGCACCCATCTTCTGCCCTTACCACTGAGAGTACAAGGTGATTTGTAGAAAGAATTTGGTCCCTAATGGGCAGACCTATGTGATTCTGCCAGCTTTCTGTAGACAAGGCCTGCCACCAACATCCATTCGTCCATCTGTCCAGCCAGCCAATGTGACTGAGTTCCTGCTAAGGGACAGGCTTAGGAATTAGGATCTGGGTATAGAACTCTGCACACTCACTGACCACAGCTCTCAAGAAGCAGGGAAAATATATGTCCAGTGCAATCCCTATGTTTTGATTTCCACACTGGGCATCAAGGTACCGCCAAAGCTGACTTCCTCCTGGATAAAGGTCACAGAGGGACAGCATTGCTACCTGTCTCTGGCCAGGGCTACCTCGGGCACCTGTGCTGCATCCTGCATCCTGTGGCTGCTGGAAAGGGACCCACCCAGGCTTAGAGTGTGGATGGAGGATGGAGTGTGTCTGTGAGGGTCCAGGTGTGTAGTGTGGAACCAGCTGGGGGAGCATACCTGTCGAGGCAGAAGATCACTGGGAAATAGGATCCCCAATATCAGGGTCCCTTTGAGAATCCCATAACCTTGGGTGATGTTCCATATCTTCCCTCATTCTTACAAAAGGGACCCTCTGGGATCCCATTTAACTTCTAGATCTGCAACTTCAGAGCACTTAGGAAACCAGAGAGGATGTGCAGTGGCCCAGCTTCCCAGCTGTGAAGGGTACATTTGCCGCCCTGTCTTTGGCTAGTGTTTATGCTCAGTGTCTTGGGGATCAGCAGTTAAGAAGCAGGACTCAGCTCTGACAGATTGATGTAAGTGAGGATCAGATAAAGTGCTAAGGATATGAACTGCCTTCTCTCCTGGAGGATCCTGCTCACTCACATCTTTCTCATGACTCTTAGCCCTGAAGGGCAATCCGGGTCTCATGGAGGAGTCATTTCCTGGAGATGCCAGGAGATCTGCTTTCTCAACTCTGTTTAACTCCAACCAAGTCATGAAACCTCTAGATGTTAACCTCACTTAGCCTCCATTTGGTCCTCTAATAATGGCATTATAGTAGAGGGTGACAAAGGAACTATGAAACTATTAACATTCAATCATTTCAACCCACAAACATCTCCATTTGTGTTACCTTTCATATTTTTGTTTTAAATCTCCCTGCTCCCACTAGATTATATATTTCTCCCCATGAGGGCAGAAAAACTGTCATATGCATTTCAGTACTCCCTAAGATATCTAGCAGAATATATCTCACACAGTAGATACATAAAGGTCTGTTTGATTTGTTGACTGTATACTCTGTACATTAGAAGACCCCTACATTGAGACTATTGATGATAACTTTGTGAATATTCCAGAGCTGAAATCAGTAGTGGCTGTATTAGGCTGGAAACCCAATCATGATGATCAGCACAGTGGCAGCTGATGAGTGGTGTTATAGTTGGCCTGAAAGCCAATTTCTCCTCTACCTGCAGTTGCTTTCAAGTTCAGTAAATGAAAAGTGGGACCCTAACACAAAGACTTACTCAACTTCATTCACTCAGAATCTGAGACTTGCCTGAGTTGCCATGCTGTTGTCCAATTTCTGCCTTGTTATTTCACATGGCAGAAGGGTATGGGGAGTTGTACCACAGCTAACTCCTGAGTCAAGACATTTTTCACTTTGGAAACACCCAAGGCACGTTATCTGTCAGGTCACTGGAGTTTGAACTCCAGTGTAGATGTGAGATGTTTCAATTCGTTTGTATGTGTGTGTGTGCATATGTGTGTTTACAGTCGGTTTGCATGTCCCTTGTCCTTTGTGTATAAATTTTTTTGGCAGCCTGTAACTTCACACTATAGATTGTAAGTTACTAGGTTAGTTACACAATGAACTTAAGCATTTTTGTCTGTAAATCTGTTAACAGCTCTAGGCTTCCGTCTCTCAATGCAAGGTCTTGGGGTTGTAGTGTGTAGGATTTTGCCCTCAACTGGTCTCTCAGTTCCAAGTTAACAGGTTCAGTGAAATCAAGAATTTAAATGGCAGGAAAAAAAATCAACATTATTTTATTATACCATAGAGATGAGAGTATAGGAACCATTTTTCAGTAGTTTGCAGCTAGAAAAGCCTGCACTGAGAAAAATAACTTTTTCAATGGTTATTGATAGGGAGGGTGATCAAGGGTGTGTGAGTCGAGTTGTGAAGCAACAGAAATCTCTCCGATGTCTTTTGTGGGGAAACAATCCCTGTTTGGGTTTTAAGAACTAAAAGTTGGGGATTATATTTCTCATTAGAAGTGTCTTAAATATATGCTATTACCTCTTGGTCATTCATATTACCATTGACTGTCTGTTATAGCTTGGAATTGCCCTTGGGTTCTTCATCCCTCCTGTCTTGGTACCCCACATTGACAACCCTGATGAGCTTGCCTACCACATGAGCATCTTGTTCTACATGACAGCAGGCGTGGCCACTCTGCTCTTCATCCTTGTCGTCACTGGTAAGGGCATTGATTGATTCACAGGAGGTGGGGAGGCAGGCAGGTTCTAGGGACTTGGGTGAGGACTGTGTGAACATGGCCCTAGAACACCATTCTGGGTGCCATGTAGTCTATAAAATATATCTGCAGAAACAGCAGGCCTGGCTTCCAATGGTCTTCAAGAGTTCTAGCCTAAGCAGTTGTTGCTGATACAGGGCTAGTTGGTCCTGTGCACTTTGCTAGCTGCTCAGTAAAGGTTTAATTGAAACTCACCAGTTCCCGAGTATGACCTCATTAGAATTAATGGACAGCCTGCTTATCCCCTTGACGAGACCCCAGTGAGCACTGATGATGTCACAGGCCTTGTGCTGAGTGCGCTTGATCTCACTGACACCGATAGGGAGGTACTAGTATCGATCTTACTTACCAAGAGCAACAGTGACTTGAGTGGAGTTAAAGAAATTAGCTTTAATAATCTGCATTTCTGGAATAAAACAAAATAAAACAGGATTGATTCACAAACACTAATACTCTCATAGATTCATCTGAGAATACCTGGGGCCCATGTTTTTTAAATGCTTTTTAAAAATACACATCAGATATACTTAATATGGAAAGATCTAGAAAATACAAAAAAGCATAAAGAATGACCATTTACTTAACCTTATACCAGTCAATCCCAACCACCAACCCCAGAGAACTGCTATTAATTTTATATGCATATGTATTTAATCATTGAGATATTTGGTTGATATAGTTTATGTCCCCTTTTATCATCTGAGTGATATTACACAGACTATGGTAAATTCAGAAGGAGGGTAGTAAAACTTTTCATTTTCAGGTTAATTATCTTCCTAATATCTAAAAGTATCTCCTCACACATCAAAGGTTCCAATCCTTCCTGCCAGCCCCATCTCCTGAATCAAACAGATTTATAATCATGTACTTCATCCAGCTGTTCACACTGTGTCATTCGCTCCCTGGGCTCCAAGGTGAGGAAGGGCTACCTGATGAGTTTTATTTTCATTTTTGGCCACACTGCATGGAATGTGGGATCTTAGTTCTCCAAGCAGGGATCAACTTCTGCCCCATGAAGTGGCAGCACAGTGTCTTAATCAATGGACTGCCAGGGAAGTCCCCTGATGGTTTTTTAGAACTCACAGTATCTCTTGGACAGAGATATTGGTGTTCCTGGAAAGGTGACAAGCTTTGAGTCTATGGTTGAGAACAGGAAAGACCAATCTGAAAGGGACCCTCTTATTTTTCTAGATCTATAACTATATTAACAATGGTTTCCATTGCACAACCTTAGCACATTAAGAGCAAAAACACAGCAAGCAAACATTAACCCAATAACCACTTTTAGAATAATTTTTCTTGTGTTTTCTAATAGGGCTTCCTCACTCCCCAAAGGGCTCTATGTCCATTAGGGCCTTTATCTGATCAGGTTCTTTATGCTGTTTTATGATTAAGGTATTATGAGCAGTCATGCATATTAGTACCAAGGGCATAAACGCATTTGCCAAACAAACTAAAATATCAGCAAAGGAGTTTAAATTAAAACACTCCTTTCATCCTGGATAATCTCATAAGATACCACCACCCGGGAGACATATTGATTAAAGTTCTAAATTGATTCTTATTTGGAAAGAGATTGGGGAAGGCCTTCTGCCTGTGTCGCAGAAATTAGAGAGTAGTCTATTAAAGCAAGCATCAGAAAGACAGATATCATCTTTAAGGTGAGCACCGGGGGCAGCTTTTTGAAATCCCTGGGATCCTGATCTGCCTTGCTCATCAGGTTTTCTCCTCATGACCTTGTCATGGGTGGGATCTCATGTGCTGGCTCCCGGCAATGATGGTTACGTGGGCCCAATCAAACAACTAGTTAAACTGATCTGGCCCCCAGAGAACTGAACAGCCGTCAGTGCAGTGAAATGGATTGTACCAGCTGTACTGAAATCAGAACATAAAGAGAATGGTTTTCCCACTGTCCCTCCCTGGCCCTTCCTATCAGAGGCCCCGTCCTGCAGGAGCATGTGTTAGTCCTCTGGTTTCTCAGGAGGCAGATGTTTGATTCGCGCTCTGAGAAATGATTCGAGGTCTCTCCAGTACGAGCAGCTCCTTTCCCTTATTCAGGGCGTGTTTATCGGCAGCATGTGCCAGGCTCTGTGCTCAGCATAGGCAGCCCAGCCCTTTCCCTGGAAGGAGCTCTGGTGCTGAGGCCTTATCTGGGCTCACTAATCCCAGAGCCTCAGCTCTCTTTTCCTTTCTAACCCCGTGTTACTACAGAATTTCTTCAGTTCTCTGTGGTACATTGTTGTTCAATTGCTAAGCTGTGTCCAACCCTTTGAGACCCCATGGACTGCAGCACACCAGGCTTCCCTGTCCTTAAATCTCCAGGAGTTTTCTCAAATTCATGTCCACTGAGTCAGTGATGCTTTCTAATCATCTCATCCTCTGCCACCCTCTTCTCCTTTTGCCTTCAATCTTTCCCAGAATCAGTATCTTTTCCAGTGAGTTGGCTATTCCCATCAGGTGGCCAAAGTATTAGATTCAGCTTCAGCATCAGTCCTTTCAGTGAGTATTCAGGGTTGATTTCCTTTAGAATTGACTGGTTTAATATTCCTGCTGTCCAAGGGACTCTCAAGAGTCTTCTCTTGCATCAGCATTCAAAAGCATCAATTCTTTGGTGCTCAGCCTTCTTTAGGGTTCAACTCTCACATCCATACACGACTATGGGAAAAACCATAACTTTGACTATACAGACCTTTGTCAGCAAAGTCATGTCTCTGCTTTTTAATATGTTGTCTAGGTTTGTCATAGCTTTTCTTCCAAGGAGTAAGCATCTTTTAATTTAATGGCTGCAGTCACTGTCTGCAGTGATTTTGGAGACCCAAAAAGAAAATCTATCACTGCTTCCCATTTTTCTGCTTCTATTTGCCATGAAGTGATGGGACCAGATGCCATGATCTTTGTTTTTTGAATGTTGAGTTTGAAGTCAAATTTTTCATTCTCCTCTTTCACCGTCATCAAGAGGCTCTTTTTTCCTCTTCACTTTCTGCCATTAGAGTGGTATCATATGCATATCTGAGATTATTGATATTTTTCTTAATTCCAACTTGTGATTCATCCAGCCTGGCATTTCACACGATGCACTCTGTGTATAAGTTAAATAAACAGGGTGACAATATATAGCCTTATCTTACTCCTTTCCCAATCTTGAATCAGTCTGTTGTATCATGTAATGATTTAACTGTTGCTTCTTGACCTGCATACAGGTTTCTCAGGAGACAGGTAAGGTGCTCTGGTATTCCCATCTCTTTAAGAATTTTCCACAGTTTGCTGTGATCCACACAGTCAAAGGCTTTAACATAGTCAATGAAGCAAAAGTAGATGTTTTTCTCGAATTCTCTTGCTTTCTCTATGATCCAACAAATGTTGGCCATTTGATCTCTGGTTCCTCTGTCTTTTCTAAACCCATCTGTACATCTGGAAATTCTCAGTTCAAATACTGCTGAAGCACATCTTGAAGGATTTTGAGTATAACCTTACTAGCATGCCAAATGAGCACAACTGTACGATAGTTTGAACATCCTTTGGAATTGCTGTTCTTTGGGATTGGAATAAAAACTGACCTTTTCCTTTCCTGTGGCCACTGCTAAGTTTTCTAAATTTGTTGACATATTGAGTGTAGCACTCTGACAGCATCACCTTTAGGATTTGAAATAGTTCAACTGGAGTTCCATCACCTCCACTAGCTTTGTTTATAGTGATGGTTTCTAAGGCCCACTTGACGTCACACTCCAGGATGTCTGGCTGTAGGTGAATGACCATACCATCATGGTTATCTGGGTCATTAAGACCTTTTTTGTATAGTTCTCCTGTGTATGCTTGCCACCTCTTCTTAATCTCTTCTGCTTCTGTTAGGGCCTTTCTGTCATTTGGGTTTCCGTGGTAGCTCAGGTGGTAAAGCGTCTGCCTACAGTGCGGGAGACCTGGGTTTGATCCCTGGGTCGGGAAGATTCCCCTGGAGAAGGAAATAGCAACCCACTCCAGTATTCATGCCTGGAAAATCCCATGGACCGAGGAGCCTGGAGGCTACAGGCCATGGGTCACCCATCCTTACAAGAAATGTTCCCTTGAGCTCTCCAATTTCCTTGAAGATATCTCTAGTTTTTCCCATTCTATTGTTTTCCTTTACTTCTTTGCATTCCAGTTAAGAAGGCCTTCTTATCTCTCTTTGCTATTCTCTGGAACTCTGTATTCAGTTGGGTGTATCTTTCCCTTTCTCCTTTGCTTTTTCATTTCTGTTCTTCCCTCAGCTGTTTGTAAAGCTTCCTCAGACGACCGTTTTGTCTTCTTGCATTTCTTTTGGATGGTTTCGGTCACTGCCTCCTGTACAGTATTACGAACCTCTGTTCATAGTTCTTCAGGCAGTCTGTCTACCAGGTCTAATCCCGTAAATCTATCCATCAGCTCCACTGTATAATCATAAGGGATTTGATTTAGGTCATACCTGTATGATCTAGTGGTTTTCCCTACTTTCCTATATTTAAGCCTAATTTTGCAATAAGGAGCTGATGATCTGAGCACAGTTAGCTCCAGGTCTTAGAGTGTAGAGAGTTTCTCCATCTTCAGCTGCAAAGAATATAATCCGATTTCAGTGTTGACCATTTGGTGATGTCCACATGTAGAGTCATCTCTTGGGTTGTTGGAAAGGATGTTTGCTATGACTCATGCATTCTCTTGACAAACCTCTGTGAGCCTTTGCCCTGCTTCATTTTGTACCCCAAAGCCAAACCTGCCTGTTACTTCAGGCATCTCTTGACTTCCTACATTTGAGGTACATTATACCTTGATTCAGGGCTTCCCTTAGAGCTCAGTTGGTAAAGAATCTGCCTGCAATGCAGGAGACCTGGTTTTGATTCCTGGGTCGGGAAGATCCTCTGGAGAAGGACATGGCAACCCACTCCAGTATTCTTGCCTTGAGAATGCTGTGGACAGAGGAGCCTGGCAGGCTACAGTTCATGGGATTACTAGAGGCGAACACGACTTAGCAACTAAACCACCACCACCATTCCTTGATTATTTTGGGACTCCCTGATCCTTGGACACTATCTGGGAGGCTCAATGATCACAGCCATCCAAAGGCCATTAAGAAAAGAGTAATCAAAGGACCAGTCACTCAACTACAGGCAGTGAAATGAAGCTTCAACAGAGGAGGCTATAAAGGATTTAATTGAATAAGTAATATTTCCTTATGGAGTCTGAGCCCTTTCTCAGAAGAGGGAATCAGCTCTCGTCCATGTGTCAGCTCTGCAGGAGTGGGACCAAGGGATTTGCGAGGGTCCCTCTGTTTCTTTCCTTTCAGTTTTCAAAGAGAAGCCTAAACATCCCTCCAGCAGGGCCCAGTCCCTGAGGTATACCCTGGCATCCTCTGATGCATCGTACTTAAGTTCTATCGTCCGACTCTTTAAAAACCTC